CTGCCGTTACGAAGCATACCCTTGCTCTATTATGCGCAGTGAGCCAACAAAAGCAATCAACAAAGAGGTTGGCCATGTTGATGCCTTAGATAAGGACTCTACGCCTACTATTGATATAGAAACAAGGAAGGATGAGGACCTTCTGGCTCTTGAAAGTATTCAGGAGCAGATCCGGTATATTGAGAAGGCGATATCGACAAAGGAGCCACATTATATGATGAGGGTGCTTCGAAGCATCTCTGCTATCAGGAAAAAACTTAACTATTATGTACTTAGAAGTCTTGTTCAAGGATATTACCCAAGTCCTTCTCCGCACAAAGACTATTTCACCGAATTTCTTCCTGAAGTATTAGTGCCTTTAGTCTAACCTCCTTTGTCTAGGCTATGGAGACAGATTTTTGTTCGTCAAAATTTAGGCCAAGAATGGGAAAAAGCTCATCTTTGCTACCTGAAGTTGAAGCCTATTTGCATTTGCTTCTCTTGATATTTCTAATTGACGAAAAACATTATGAAGAAGTTTGTCGAATTTATCTTATATCTTTTAGGCGACAAAATGCTCTAGCCTACTAATGGATCGTTTAAATGGGTCGAATAGGCGATATTTATCTATGTTTGCAGGGCGATGCTACTTTTACCACAGTAGGGCTTTTGAGCTAGTTGGACGACTAGAAGATATACGGTCTTTCTTACACTCACGCTTAAGGACTGCGACTCTTAGAAATGTAAGTAACTTTAATTTTTATAATCTGTATTTCCTTTCAAGTATTTGTAAAATGATTTTATTAAGTTGTGTTAATGATTCTCTAGCGATTAATTGCTCTTACATACTTTATTTCAGCACCACGATTCTCAAGCTGTCCTAATTAATCTGCTACTCAGGAATTACTTGCATTATAATCTATATGATCAAGCATTTAAGCTCATCAGTCGTGTCGTCTTCCCTGAATCTGCACCAAACAACGAGTGGGCTCGCTACCTTTATTACTTCGGTGAATTTTATACTCTCATTTGAATCACTATTTAAATGTCAGATGGGCTTTATGACTACATCCTTTTTTGCCTTCCAGGTAGAATCAAAGCCATACAATTAGATTACAGTGCTGCCCATGAACACCTAGTCTCTGCTCTTCGAAAAGCACCTCAATATACAGCGGTTGGATTCAAACAATCGTTACATAAACTAAACACTGTGGTCGAGCTACTTCTGGGAGAGCAACCTGATCGAACCAATTTTAGACACAATAATTACAAGATGGCGTTGCAACCGTATTTCCAGTTAACTCGCTCAATACATGCCGGCAACTTAGGGCAGTTTAATGACGTCCTACGCTCATATGGGCCCCAATTCGTTGCTGACGAGACATATACTTTGATTATTAGGCTGAGACATAATGTAATTAAGACTGGTGTGCGGCGCATCTCATTAAGCTATTCTTGTATCGCCTTACCTGATGTTGCTGCTAAGCTTCAATTAGATAGTCCTGAAGATGCAGAATACATTGTAGCTAAGGTAAAATATTGTTTCTTTTTGAATTATGGTGAAGTGTTTTTATCTGTTGAAAG